CATTCGAAAAGAAAAAAATATAATTTAAGTTACGTATCATCATGTCACCCAAAACCGATAGTGCTGCCATCTGCGATCCAAAACAATAATTTTAATGGATATGTAAAATAAAATATTTATAAATTCAATTCGCCATACAAAGTTTAATTATGTACAATGAGTTTTTTATATATTTCTATCTTACATAAAATGCATTTGAAGAAGTCAATTTTTTCATTTTGTTAGTGTCGCTATACTGCACTTGGGAGCAAGAAGACGGACCCACTACCATTTTTAACCGACTTCAAAAAAAGGAGGTTATACTTTCAGAACTGCCCAGTTTTCATGTTTTTTTTTATTGAATAAGTCGGTAAACGAGCTGACGGATCACCTGATGGTAAGCAATCGGCGTCGCCCATGGACACCTGGAACACCAGAGGCGTTACAAGTGCGTTACCGGCCTTTGGGGGATTAGGAGTTTGAGGATCGTTGGGGATTCAGGGATTGGGGAGATTGGGAAAGGGGAGGGTAATTGGGCCTCCGGTAACCTCACTCACACGACGAAACACAACGCAAGCGTTGCTTCACGTCTGTTTTCTGCTCGTTGGTGGTATCACTCCGGTCGAGCCGGCTCAGCAGTGCCGAAGCATGGCGAGTCCACACTTAAAATGTTAGTCTATGTCAGCGTCTGAATAAATGTGCCAAAGGATACTGCTCTGCGAGATAAACGCCCACAAACATGTTTGTAATGCATATACTCGTATATGTCGCGATTGGCTGAACCGATCTTGATGCAGTTTTCAGTAAAGTGTTTGATACACTTAGAAGGTTTTAACTCGTCGAGTACCGTCATTATAGACACAATTATAGAACAATAGGTTGCGGTCACCGGTGACCGCTTGGTGTTTGACAGTTTAATATATTAAACTAAATATTGTTCTTTAATTGTGTCTATAATGACGGTGCTCGACGAGTTAATTAACCAACTTTAAAATAAAGAGGGTATTGAAATCGGTTGTTTTAAAAGTAGTTTATAAAAGAATTGTGTTTACTGTTATAGAGGGTTTTTTTTATAATTATATATATTTGATGGGCCGATGTCAGACTACTATCTCGCCTGGTGGTGCACCATGATGCGGTCTACGATGGAGCACGTCGTCCCATAAGCAACATATTCACTCGGGCCTTGAAGTCACCCAGGTTATACCCTTCAGGAAATACAGACTCTGGCAAGGAATTCTACTCCTTAGCGGGTTGATTAAAATGAAAAAACGCTAGTGGCTCCATTTCCTTGCTCCCGATTGTATTTGTCTGACTTCAAAATTCATATACCGAAGTATGTATTGAATAATTATCCGCCGTATAATGTAAATGACCATATTTTAATCAAATTTTGACTTTAAACAATGGTATTTAAGTTTAATTTTATATCTATTTTCCTTACATCGACATACTATTAAATATAGTGATATTAACATACATACACACATGTCATATATTATTTATACATCGACGGGGTAGGCAGAGCTGTATATATCTAAAGCAACACCCACTTTTCATTATTTATTTTATGAGTCCCATGTAATAGGAATGTTGTCCCATGTAATAGTAACTGTTTGGTAATGGCAGACTAACGCTACTCTTCCCGTGGGTGTCGTGTACCCGACTCAGAGATGGGATAACAGATCTTTTTATATATTTATTTCAGTAATTATACGGAGTTTAAAATTGTGTCCGGTATATGGCAATAGGCTCACCCCCTATTACATGGGACTCATAACATAAATAGTGAAAAGTGGGCGTTGTGCCTTCGGGGATAGAAGGCGCGATGTCGCGTGCGATGCGAGTAGTGACTACAAATGTACGTCTAGTGTCTCATGGACGTACTTCTATAGATTTCATCTTTATATTTGTGTTTTTACTTTATACATCGAAAGTACTCGTTATGGCAAGTTGTTTTACCGCGGGACGAGAACGACATAAATTTCACGGTGTATAATTAGAAAAAATAGCATATACTACTAAATATGTAGACCTCTGCCTACCCTTTTGGGAATAATTAATGTAATTACATTAAAACGAGTCCTGGTGAACAATCCGCGTCTATATAACGTTTGACTAGCATACATGCTACCTCATACATAGTGGCTCTTATGTGGTATATCTTGGTATCGGAATTTCGATACGTAAATATATGAGTTACTAGCGTCTGCCAGCGGCTTCGCCCGCGTTCCTGTGCGATAAAAAGTAGCCTATGTGTTATTCTAGACCATAATCTACCCCTGTTTCACATATCATCCCGATCTGTTAAGCACTCTCATTTATCACTACATAGTATAAAACAAAGTCGCTATCCGCCGTCTGTCTGTCCCTATGTATGCTTAGATCTTTGAAACTACGCAACGGATTGTGATGCGGTTTTTTTTAATAGATAGAGTGATTCTTAAGGAAGGTTTATATGTATATTGCACCCGTGCGAAGCCGGGGCGGGTCGCTAGTACTTAATATTAGTAAGATGTGAGTGAGTATGTCTGTAACAAAAAAAAAGGGATAGGGATGAAATTTGTAACTGATGTAGATTATGGTCTGGAATAACACATAGGCTACTTTTTATCACACAGGGATGCAGGCGAAGCCGCAGGCAGAAATTAGTTTTGAGATTTATGTAAAACTACGATTAAATTTACTGTTTTTCTGATAAGTCAATCGCTTTACTTATATTTATTTTGTTTTGGAGTTTTTCAACAGATTCTAGTAAACATTAAACAACACATGTGTATATAAATGTATCGAAAATCCGATCCCAAACGAACTATTTATTAATCCTAAGTACATATACACATATATTTTAATAATTTATTCCATTTTCACATTTATCTGAATATTGTATGTTTCGAACTATATCTATAAGTAATAATAACAGACCTATTTGAAAAATACATTAAAGTTTAATATTTCAATGTATATTTTAAATAGCGCTGTGTATCATAGTGACTATTGTCTTTAGTTATTTGTATAGTGAGTGGGAATTGGGGGAAGGGGGAAGGGGGAAAGGGGGTGACTGTGATTAGTGGATCGTGTGTAAAAGCCTCTGGGACAGGATCTATCTATTTTTCCACAAAAACAATATTATTTTCCATCTTCATTTCGGAGCAAGTCGTTTATTCCAGTCGAAGGACAACATTTTTATTATATACTAGCTGTGCCCGCGACTTCGTTCGCGTAGAATAGTGACTATGAGCAGCGTTTTTTTTTAAATATATACTTATTTTTATTTTAGATTTGGATCATAATCACAGTCATTTTGGGTAGCTAAAAAACCTACTTTACTGTAATGCTTCTCTATATACAATATTAGACGTATGGCCATCGGGGGTGAAAGCATACAGGCTGCTGGGATTGCTAACACGGGACAGAGCCACATACAATTGACCGTGCGAAAAACAGCTGATACTTAGATCTATACCCACAACTTTTAGAGTCTGACCTTGAGCTTTATTAATTGTCATGGCGAAACATAGGCTCACTGGAAACTGAATTCGTTTAAAATTAAACGGAAAATTTTTTGGAATGAGAGGAATCTGAGGAATAAAACCACTATCACCTTTTCCGCACCCTGTTAAATATATATATATTTATAAGCCATTTCTGAGATTAGCGTGAACAGACAAACAGACAAACAGACAAAAAAAAAGTTAGTTACATTTTTGGGTTCGACATCGACATAACAATAGCCCCTGCTATTTTTTTTATTTTTATTTTCAATGTACAGACAGCACTTTTCTACAATTTTATTATATGTATAGATAGATAGATAGATAGATAGTGTTCGACGTGATTCTTTAATTTGACGTAACTTTTTTATTTATGAACCGATTGACATGAAACAAACACTAAAGCATAACTGAAGCATACCACAATATATTCGTGAAAACCGCATCCAACTCGGATAAGCCGTTTCTGAGATTAGCGTGAACAGACAAACAGACAAACAGACAAAAAAAAAGTTAGTTACATTTTTGGGTTCGACATCGACATAACAATAGCCCCTGCTATTTTTTTTATTTTTATTTTCAATGTACAGACAGCACTTTTCTACAATTTTATTATATGTATAGATATTTTTGTCACATTTAAAAAACTATTAAAATCTGTGTTGAAATACGAATAATAATTGTATTAGGTAATGTTTTTATTATGTAACAATAGTGTCTTCTATACTGTAATTCTGGAAGATGTGACGTCACACTAGTCTCACAAATGTTACTAGCTGTGACAAGGACGGGGGGAGGGGTAAAAACATCATGAAATTCGTGTGATGTAATTTATGGATGACCCCTAACATAATTGTGATAAGTTTGTAAGTACCTACATTAATTTTGCACGCCGACGTTGAGGACAAAATAAGAGGACCTAAATTATTATATAATAACAAATTATCTGTACCTTATTTACGTTAATTAATAATTTTTGAATTTGAGTGGTGAAAATCGGACGTTGCAATAATTATTAATAATGCAGTAGCTAGCAGACTTTGGACAATGTGTAGTGGACTTTGGACAATGTGTAGTGGACTTTGGATAATGTGTAGTGGACTTTTGGACAATGGGTAGTGGACTTTGGACAATGTGTAGTGGACTTTGGACAATGGGTAGTAGACTTTGGAAAATGGGTAGTCGACTTTGGATAGTGTGTAGTGGACTTTGGATAATGTGTAGTGGACTTTGGACAATGTGTAGTGGACTTTGGACAATGTGTAATGGACTTTGGACAATGTGTAGTGGACTTTGGATAATGTGTAGTGGACTTTGGACAATGTGTAGTGGACTTTGGACAATGTATAGTGGACGTTGGACAATGGGTAGTGGACTTTAGACAATGTGTAGAGGACTTTGGACAATGTGTAGTGGACTTTGGACAATGTATAGTGGAATTTAGACAATGTGTAGAGGACGTTGGACAATGCGTAGTAGACCTTGGACAATGGGTAGCGGACTTTGGACAATAGGTAGTAGACATCATACGACGGGTAGTGGACTAAGGATTAATTACTAGTGAAGTGTAGGTGGGTGATTCAGATCCAGGTTACAGTAGTCAGGTTAAATAAATAGTGGATTGTGGGAGTTAGACTCTGGGCAATCACAAGTGGACATCGAAATACTTGGTAATAGCATACAGGTGGGTGTGTCGGACCTGGTCTCCTTGCCCCAGGCTAGAATGGCGCGGGTTCATCCAGCGTGTGTAACCAGTTGAATATCATCATGTTCCGCTCGTACTTGGACAGTGGCCGTCCTCGCTCGCGCTCGAGGTCCGCCGCTGTCAGCGCTAGAGCTGCTGCTTCTGTGGATGAGAAGGTATGTTTAGGTTAAAGGCTAGAATAAGAATAATAACATTTAAGTAACTATTGGCCCTTTCCTCCAACCACCCCTAAACTATCTCTTAACTAAGAATTACATACTTAGCGTGACAGAACATCTAACCTATTCTCTTGTACTCTTAGGTTAAGTGTCATCTATATTAGCTGAGGGCTTCCTAACCTTGAAATAGTAATTTGTGTGATTCGGGAGTTGAACCCGAGACAGTATTGCCACCATCGTATGAATGGTTACCGATTAAAACTTAACGAGACTTTATATTATACACGCGTTGTGTTTCGCAGTGTTTGTGAGTAAGAAGGCTCAATTACTCCCCCCTCCCCCTACCCTAATATCCTCAATCCCTGAATCCCCAACAATCCTCAAATTCCTAATCCACAAAAGGCCGGTAACGCACTTGTAACACCTCTGGTGTTCCGGGTGTCCATGGGCGACGCCGATTGCTTACCATCAGGTGATCCGTCTGCTCGTTTACCGGCTTATACCATAAAAATACATATAATCAAGATCACCCCTAATTTGCTACCACTTTTATCAAAGAAGTTAGACAGTTTCTTTCATCTTTAAATAATAAATGCTTCCTAGAGGTTGTTGGCAAAAGAATGCTAAATTAATAATATATGTGAAGCTACGTACCAGGATGTACAATCCGTGTATGTTTGTGTGTGGGTACAGGCAGACTGACGCCGCCGGACGCCAGGGCCGCTGCAGCCTGCGGGCAGGTCGCATACTTATACATACATACTTACATAACTTCACGCCCGTCTCCTATAGGGGTATACTGTGGTACGCCAATTGGGTACTTGCCTACAAGTCAAATTCAATACTTTTTCGAACTGTCAAGAACGACAGTTTTCTATAAATTTTGTATCAGATTGTACATTGTGACGACACGGTTTTTAACGTCAAACAGCATAATTATTTGTTAAACATTTGGTGAAAAATACTAAAATAAAGTTGGTCATGATATCAATTAATGAAAGTGTGATTATTTTTTAATATTATATTGTATTGGACAGTCGAAATAATTCATTTTTGATTAAGGCAAGAACCCAATTGCTACGATTCTCAGTCATCAGTATTTTCATGCATGCTGATGTAGTGACAAGGATTGCAAAGGGAATGTTACGCTGGTTTGGGCATGTAGAAAGGATGGATGAAAGTAGAGTAACGAAAGAAATATACAGAGCTGATATGAATGGGGCCGTCGGTAGAGGGCGCCCTAGACGGACATATAGTGACCAGCAGAGTTATAATTATGTTAAACCTATTGTCATAAATAGATATCATGATAAATGTATCACTTAACGAAGTGTCATCATTATAATCATCACGCCTTTTATTCCCGATGGGGTAGGCAGAGGTGCACATTACGGCACTCAATGCCATTGTACAATGTAACACTCACTTTTCACTATTTATGTTATGAGTCCCATGTAATGGAGAGTGAGCCTATTGCCATATACCGGGAACAATTCCAGACTCATTGCTACTAATATTTAAAAAAAAAAACAGAAATACTTTTCCAGACCCGGGAATCGAATCCGAGACCCTTTGCCTAGCAGTCGCACTTGCGACCACTCGTTACTACCGAAATTAGTAGTATAAAAAAGAGACATCTCTTTCTCTCTCTTCGGTCACTATCTCTGAATCTCACTCTCTATCTCTTTTCAATGACTTGGTTGACTGATGACGATAATGAATGATTGTAACTCACCTCGAGCCTGTCCAGGTTGAAGTCAGACTGCGACATGCGTTCGAGCGCGCGGTATGTGGTCAGTAGGCGGCGTTTAATGTAGCTCTGGCGGACCTACAGACAATAATATATATAGCTCGGGGCCATTCAAGTATTACCTAAGCACCAGGGGGAGTGGGGGGTCTCTGTTTCGCTTATTTTGGATGATATGGGGGGGTAGGGGAGTCTAGATGATGATTACGTCATCGGTACTTATTTACTTTTTCACACGATTGGCAACCCTCATATTGAAATTATAAATTACAAGCAAAGACCGACAAACAACTAGACATTATGGTATCTAAGAGAATATTAAAATTACAATAGTATAAAACAGATATAATTTAAAATGGTTACGTAAGCAAAGGGGGAGAGGGTAAGATCTTTGCTTACATTTGCTGACAAGGGGGAGGGGGTAAGATCTTTGCTTACATTTGCTGACAAGGGGGAAGGGGGGGGGAAACACATTGTAAAAAATCTGCTTACGTAATATTTGAACGGCCCCCTACCAAGAAAAATAATTAAGTTGTTGTTTACATACAATAGGGTGGTTTCCTAAATTTTATTTTAATGTCCGTCTGGTACATTAATTTAAAACTTTAGACGCGTATTTTTTTTTCTCACAAAATTAAATACTTTCGACGATATATTAATTTCAAATATCGTGTGACGTCACAGCGTGTCACATTTTGTAGCACGTTATGACGCAACGACCTAAACTTAGCGCCATTTTATCTAAGTTCCATCAACAGCCTATATATGCCCACTGCTGAGCAAAGCCTCTTCTCACACGGAGAAGGTTAGAGCGTTAATCACCACGCTTGCTCAATGCGGGTTGGCGATTTCAAACTTATAATTAGAAATTATAAGCCCAGGTTTCCTCACGATGTTTTTCCTTCACCGATTGTCAGTGGTGCCTAAATAATCTTAGAAAGTACATATAACTCGGAAAAAGTCACATTGGTACTTGCCGTTGGTAGGTTTCGAACCCGCACCCTCATGCATGAGAAGTGGGCGTCTTAAACCTCCGGGCCACCACGACATTTATCTAAGTATTGCAACTTAATACGAGAAAATAAAACAATACGTGTCTAATATGTTTTCATTATCTAACTGACGGACTAATTAGATTTTTAATTTTGATACCCTGGAATCTACCCAATTTTCATTTTTATTTTCACATTTTATTTGTTTGTAAAACTATTGTATTACTGAGACAGAACCATTTTACTTCGGGACGGAAACGAAATAGATTTCACGGTGTATTAAATTAGCCATACCTTTTTGTTATCAGTGAGCAGACATCGTTGCGGCGCCTGCACCAGCTGGGACCGCTGCGGGGACGGCAGCTGGGACCCTCCTACTGGGGGGGACATATTATTTACTGTTTATGTGGCTGGGCAACCTGTGTCGCGGGTTCGATTCCCGCACGGAACAACTCTTTGTGTGATCCACAGATTGTTGTTTCGGGTCTGGGTGTCATTATGTATGTGAACTTGTATGTTTGTAAACGTACCCACGACACAGGAGAAAATCCTAGTGTGGGACATAAAAAAAAATATATTCACTAAAAATCGCGGGTTACTCACGTGAATATACTGAGAAAAGCTCTACTAGTTTCGAACCACAGAGGGGATCTTCCTTATGAGCAGCGTGCGCGCTCAAGGCGATGTCGCGCAGCCTACTAGCCAGTAGAACCCCTCTGTGGTTCGAAACTAGTAGAGCTTTTCTCAGCATATTTACGTGAGTAATCAAATCATTGAAACCAAAAACCATTCTAAGTACTAATACCTAGTCAGAATCGTCATTATTTAGTGCCGTTTAAACCTGAAAATATGGCAGTCATTTGAAAGACACAGGATTGTAACCCATTTAGTAAAAGAAAAAGTGATTTCACAGCCTTATAGTATATCGACGGCGACTTGTTGCGTCCGGCTCTGGTTCAGACCATGAGACGGAGCGAGGGGGACTGGGATGCCGTCTCCTTCTTCTGTGAAGCAGTCATGCTAGCTAAGGAAGAGGCGGAGCGCGTGAGGGAACGAACCTCCTCACGCCCCGGCCGTCAAGACACTCCGGGCGTCGGGGATCGCGAGACGATCTCTGGCGGCGAGCATGGGTGGCTCCCCGTCCGACCAGAAACAGACCCGGGTGTACGGCGCCGAGCGTTCCGTGCGCGCCTCAAAGAGTCATCAGACCACCACGGATGGGGCCCAATAGGGCTGATATCGATACGGAGCCGCGAAAGACTTAACAGGTTGCCGGGGCTCCGGTTAGTGCAAGAGTAGGAACGGGGTGGTTTTTAGTCAGTAAGAGTCTGACACACCCTCCCGCCTCACCCGGGCGGGAGCAGGCATTCGATGATTTTCTCCCCTTGAAAAAGTCTTATACATATAAATATCCACATGAAACAATGTCTGCTTAGATAGCAGCATGCAGGCGTTTGGGTGAGGGCAGTGGAGACCGAATCTTCCTCTCCGAACCCCAAAAGCCCGGTAACGCACTTGTAACGCCTCTGGGGGTTCATGAGTCCATGGGCGTCGCCAATTGCTTACCATCAGGTGATCCGTCTGCTCGTTTATTCATACCATACAAGCTTCTACCAACAGCTTCGCCCGCGTAAACCAATGTATGTGGTATTCCAGATCATAACCTACCGCTGTTCCAAATTTCATCCCAATCCCTTCAGCCGTTTTGGTGTGATTGAGCAACAAACATACAGACAATGTCTTTAATATTAGTAAGAATAAAATACAGTTATTGTTAACTTACCAGCGACCCAGGTGCTGCAGGAGCGCGATGCCGCGCTCATGGTGAGAGCCTCCAGGGCTGCGGAGAGACCCACTTCTGAAGTAGCGCTGGAATGTATGAAGCATTTCTTTTGATTTATTTATATTTAAACAGCTACATAGATTTGGGGTGGTGTTCAAAACCTACCAACGACAAGTACCAATGTGACTTTTTCCGAGTTATATGTACTTTATAAGATTATTTTGACACCACTGACAAACGGTGAAGGAACACGTCGTGAGGAAACCTGTGCTTATAATTTCTAATTATAAGTTTGTAATCGCCAACTCGTATTGAGCAAACGTGGTGGTTTATGCTCAAACCTTCTCCGTGTGAGAAGAGGCCTTTGGTCAGCAGTGAGCATTTATAAGCTACTGTATTTCTGAACCGGTACGACCTTCAAACCTTCAAGAAAAGAGCGTACTCCTTTTTAAAAGGCCGGCAACGCACCTGTGACTCCTCTGGTGTCCATGGGCGGCGCTGATCGCTTACCATCAGGTGATCCGTCTGCTCGTTTGCCTCCTATTTCATAAAAAAAACCGAAGGAGTAGGTAGAGGTGCACATTACGGTACTTAATGCCACTGTACAGTGTAACACCCACTTTTCACTATTTATGTTATGAGTCCCATGTAATAGGGGGTGAGCCTATTGCCATATACCGGGCACAGTTCCAGACTCCGTGCTACTACTGAGAATTTTTTTAAAAACCCAGTAATAGGTACTTTGCCCGACCCGGCCAACGAGGCAGTGTTCGTTTTTTAAAAAGGGATTTAGACAATGATTATGTATTAGGCTCAATTATCTATATGGAGCTGCGGACAATTGCAGGTTACAGCGGCTCCAGCTATAGGCAGAAGTAGGAAAAGGGTGGTGTTTAGTCAGTAAGAGTCTGACACTCCCTCTCACTCAAGGGTTTCCCTACCCAAAGAAAGGCTTAAGGCTTCACCGAACAATCACTTTAAATGTTTCGTTTCTACGTTCTTCTTTAAAGGTCAATCAGAGGACGCTACTGCCCTCTATAATATAAAGTATTTTTGTCGGGTATAATACACCCACGTGAAGAATAGCGTTGGTGATTCGTGACATACGTATATTAGTCGGGTGTAATAAGTCCTGGATCACTGTATTACCTCCGCAGTGGCAGACAGGGCTCCCTGCTGGCGACGTCGGCGGCGCTGAAGGAGCGGCGCAGCCCCAGCTGGGCACACAGCGCCGCGCAGCCCGCCAGCAGCTCGCGGCACTGGTCCGGCGCCAGCGGCAGCGACGACGACGACGGACGTCTGCGGAGCGGACTGAGCGTGAGGCTCACTGGACCCTTGTGAACGTCCTACAGTGTGGAAGAGCCATGCTTCGGCACTGCTGGGCCGGCTCGACCGTAGTGATACCACCAACGAGCAGAAGACCACAGTGAAACCACAGCGTTGTGTACCGTCAAGCGAGTGAGGTTACTGGAGGCCCAATTACACCACACCCCCCTCCACAGTCTCCCCAATCCCCGAATCCTTGACAATCCTCAAACTCCTAATCCCCAAAAGCCCGGTAACGCACTTGTAACGCCTTGATGTTCCAGGTGTCCTTGGGCGGTGCCGATTGCTTACCATCAGGTGATCCGTCTGCTCGTTTACCGGTTTATGCCATAAAAAAGCTAGGTTCCAAAGTGTAGATTGCTTATGTAGAAGGATATTAATAAGCAAAAATCACTTTATTTATTTCACAAACTTAATTCGATGCATTCAGTGCTCAAGATCGGCCATCAGTTGTGGACAAGTACTCACTTCAAATATTTGCTATCCGGGTTAGGGCTGGCCACTCGCAGCGACGGGTCGGGACCCTGTCCGGCCTGGAAGCATAATTTAATAAATTATTAAACTAATAAATATTGAATCATTGTGGCGATAATCGTATCTGGTAAATAGTATATTAATTAAAATAAATATTTATAATTAACTAGCAACCCGGCCCGGCTTCGCACGGCTGTAATATGCCTGTATTATACATATAAACCTTCCTTAAACTGTCAAACACCAAGCGGTCACCGGTGACCGCAACCTATTGTTCTATAATTGTGTCTACAAAACCGGTACTCGACGAGTTAACTCGTCGAGTACCGGTTTTGTTTAAAAACTAAAACATTAGACCAGTATTTTTTCCCACAAAAGTAAATAAATACATTCGACGAAATATTGATTGAAATATTGTGTGTCGTAACGACCTCCCGCTCAGAAACTTAACGCCATTTTATCTAAGTATTGGAACGTTATACTAGAGAATAAAACAATACGTGTCTAATATTAGATTGATGACTGTTGATGAAGCGAAAGAAGGTTGTAGGAATCGTAGTGATTGGCCCATGGGAGACAGGCGTGAAGTTATGTACGTATCTAATATTTTCCCATTATCTAACTGATGAACTAATTAGACTTTTAATTTTCTTACCCTGGCAACTACTTTATTATGCTGTATAAAATAAACGTACAATATCTAGGAGGTACAGCATATAAAAACGACAAAATTAACTACAAAAATAGACATCACCTTGGAGTACAAGCCCTTACCTTGCAGGCCAGTAACCGCAGCACCCTGGCATCAGACGCGGCGGAGGAGACGCTGAACAGCGACAGGTCCGTCGTGACAGACTCGTGCGAGGGCGAGCGCGCCACGCCGCCGCGCCACGACTCCCCCGTGCACATGTCCACTGGAATAGCACATGGAGAAACTGATTTAAACTGTCTTTAGTTCAGAATGCTGTCTCGTTAGCTGAGTGGTCGTGAATGCGACGGGTCGCGCAATATTACTGGGTATTTAAAAATAATCTCAGTAGTAGTAGCACGGAGTCTGGAATTGTGCCCGGCATATGGCAATAGATTAAGTCCATACTACATGGGACTCATAACATAAATAGTGGAAAGTAGGTGTTATATTCTACAGTGGAATTAAATGTCGTAAAGTACAATTTTAATCCTGGTAATAGAGTAGATCACAAATTTTTATTTTAATGTCCGTCTGGTAGATTATTTTAAAACATTAGACACGTATTTTTTATTTTCTTACAGAAACGAATACTTTCGACGATGTATTGATTTAAAATGTCGCGTGACGTCACCTCTATGTACGTTTTATACGTAGAAATGACGTAGCTAGCTCCAACTCCTAAACTTTGATTCGTTTTATATAATAAGTATTTGTTTTCTTGTATTATAAAATAAAAAAACACGTGTCTAATATTTTTTCATTACCTAACTGACGGACTAATTAGATTTTTAATATTCATACCCTGTCATCATCCCTATTATGGATATTATGGTATGTATGCAGCAGCTTCACCCCGTGTTAACACATACTACTTTTATCTCAAGGAATAACTTTCAGACTATAATCTACCCCTGTTCCAAACACCTCGATCCCGTTAGCTGTTTTGACGTACTTGAGACAAACAAATATACAAACTAGTTGCATTTAAAATAAGTACCTATTAGTTGTATTTGTGTAGTGGAGGACTATAATTTCCTCCATAGAGTGATGATGTCATGATGATGTGTGTACCTATACAATTATCTCACGATTGGCTGAACTGATTTTGATGTGATTAAAGTCAAAGTAATTTATTTCAATTTGACCAGAAAGGCATTTTTGAACGACAACAAAAAATTAAAAGTGAAGCTATTTGCTCATTTCGAGGTGTAGATTCCTATGTAGAAGAACGTGCAAGAAATTCCATAGGTTACTTATACTTTTTCAATCAGGATCACAATAATGAACGGACTTTAAAAAAGAGGGCCTTGAAGTTGGTTTTCTTTAAATACAACAACATAATACCACGCCTTTCTTCCCCGAAGAGGTAAGCAGAGGTGCACATTATGGCACTTAATGCCCACTTTTTACTATTTTATGTTAAGGGGTGAGCCTATTGCCATATACCGGGCACAATTCCAGACTCCGTGCTACTACTGAAAATTTTTTTAAAACCCCATAATTCTTTGCCCGACCTTGGAATCGAACCCAAGACCCCTTGCCCGTCATCGCACTTGCTACCACTCGGCCAACGAGGCAGTCTGCTCTTTAAATATAGACTATAAAAGTATTTCGATTCTAATTAAATTATTAAACTAATATTACAGATATAAGTGATGATGAAGCGAACAGTGTTTTTCTGATTTAAAGATTTATGATATTCTGCATCTGTTAATAATTACAGTATTAACTGCATATAATATGTCAATTCATTTTAATAAATAATACTCATAATCTGTAAATAATATTAATTTTTCATTGTGATGTAATTAAATCTTGTTGGCATTAAAAAAGAATTTCAATTAAACAGGACAAATTTTAATTTTCTAAAACAATAGTGTTATAATTTCGCATCGAATAAACTAATACATAGGTAAAAAGGAAATTTTAAACGGAGAAAGACGCCGTAACACAATTTGCGTCTTAGCGCAAATACATGCATATCAGCTTTTTAAAAAATTTAAAAGAGGGATATTCCATCTGTTTTCAAAATATAACAATTTCTCTAATTTTGAAACTGCATGGAAAGATTAAAAAAAAAACAAAATTAGACATTATGTCTGAAAATCGGTAATCATAACAATAACAAACAATTAAAAACTTGCCGCTTATATGAGGATCCACGGTGAGGCCGTACAAACAAACTTGTAAACACGAAATTATTATCTAATTATTAAATTACTATAACTACAATATTGTCACGATATTTAGTTTTATTGCAAATATATTTTTGCAATTTTTCGGTTTTCAATAATGGCCGGATAAGTTTGACAGATAAAAATCTGGGCCGCCGTTAGGTTGCGTTCGGAAAATTGGATAATTCTAACGTTAATATTCTACCGTCTATTACAAAATTTGAGATAAATCACACAAAATGTGCAAATCAGTTGCGCTTTTTGTATAAAATAATACTATTTTGAATGATTTTATCTCTAGAGTCTTATTGGCATTATTATTTTAAATTATAACGAACGCAACCTTAATACCTGCGCTACACAATCTGGTAGAGTAATATTTTGCGTAATATAAATAAATAATTTATCAATCTTCAGATATTTAAATACTCGTATTTGTGAAAATGACAACTTGAATAAGTACATTCATTTCAATATGGTAAAAGTAACGATTTAAAATCTTTACAAACCTCAAAGACAGCGATATGTTTTCATTATACTACCAAATTAGGATGGTAACCAATACAAAGTTTAAACTAGTGACCTCTATCTATCTAAAACGTTTAACAACGTTTAAACATTTACCCAAGAGATGGCAGTATAACGTCAAATTACCTTTAGTATAACTAATCTAACGAATATCTAACTAGATAGAACATAAATAAACAGAACTATGTTCAATAAATTGGGAATATTATTTACAGTTACAATATCATACCTTTAGTCTAGGTGTAACAATGAAAACAGCATGTCTAGTCTAACCATAATTTAAAAAAAAGTAATATCGAAAATAATAAAAATAAAAAAATATAATAAATAAAACTACCTATTCCTTCTTGAACCGAAAATAAATGATGTCCATAAAATTTTGATATAAGAAAAACGTTTTTTTCACTATCAACATATTAAAAACAAACAAAGATCAATAAAATAAAATTATACAATTGTTTTTTGACTTTATTCAAATCTGAAGCTGTATAAAGATAAAGTAATACATATTATACAACAAATCAGAGAGAATCCACGTGTATTAGTAGTGTTTATTATCGATTTGAGCGGATTCCTGGAAGGCGGGCATCAAATGTTGACAAACTCGGATATCGCGCCGTTGACATTGGTTTACATGCCACGAGGCGAAAATAGAAATATGTAAGTCAAGTGAAATGAATTTTTAGCCTATTAAATATTTATTTATTTATTTATTTACACTTTTTGTAGGTATACAACGGCGGACTTAATGCCTAGTGGCATTCTCTAACAGTCAACCTTAAATATTAAGTGGTTTATACATTGTGGTGCAAATTATAGACGAATAATTCTTAATTATAAACGTTGCCCCACTCTAGGATGTTCTCCTGTATCGTACGTGCGTTTACAAACATACACGTTGACATACACATGACACACAGACCCGGAACAACAATCTGTGGATCACACAAAGCGTTGTTTCGTGCGGGAATAGAAACCACGACACGTTGTGCGGCAGTCAGTTGCCCATCCACCACGCCAACCGTGCAGTCAAATTGTCAAAAGTAAAAAAAAAGACGAATAATTGACACTGAAGAAATTATGACACTTTCTTAATAGATATTGTTAGATATAAAACTATGTCCTAAACCTAAATCAAAGCAAAAATTTGTCTGTAGACCGCTTAAAATTGATACAGCTAGTCAAGAGATAAACGTGCACAGACATACATACACACAGGTCACATTGAGATGTTCGTCCTCCTTCTTGTTTTGAAGTTGGTTAAAAGTACGTCTCAATAAAACATTTTTCATGATTTAATAGCTAGGTGATATCATTTAATATTATTTTTTTGATATTTAAAAACGTTTTAACTTTTTTGCCAGAAACATGCCTGGGAATCAAAGCTGAGGATCCAACCTAGTCCGAGCGATTCCACTAACATACCCTGGATCGGGGATCCCTTAATTTAAAACATTTATTACTTACCATTATGTACTTGAATATATTAATTTAAAAAACTTAGTGCTCAATAAAAGTTTTATCAAGCTGTTATTTTAATACTTAATGTAAGTACAAATGTGTATACAATGGCGGGCTTATTGCCGGATGGCATTCTCTACCAGCCAATCATAGGGTGAAGTGTTACAGTAGATTATAAACTATTGTATAAGTATGTTACGCCTAATATCTATTGTGGTGAACATAAATACAAATAAATAAAAATTAAATAATATTAATCCCGACCGCCATGTAATACCAGGCGAATCGTAATACCAACATACATGTATAAGCAGTGAATACTTTATCAGCAAAATGGATGTTATGTTTTCTGATGTTGCCGGCACTGTGCGGCGGGTGGACTTGTGGCGAAATTACTAAGAATAATCTTATCTTATACTTTTATATAAAGCGAATGAGTTTGTTTGAACGCGCTAATCTCCGGAACTACAAGTCTGATTTGAATAATTCTTTTTGTGTTGGATAGCGCATTTATCTAGGATGGCTATAGGCTATAAAACATCACGCTACGACCAATAGGAGCTGAGCAGAGCGTGTGAAACCGCGCGGAAGTAGCTAGTTTATTTATAAACTACGTTTAGAATAACCGACTCCAACTCTCTCTTTATACCGACTTCAAAAAAAGATGAGGTACTATGTTCGAATGATTGTTTTTTTTATGTAGGGCTAGGTATGTTCAGCGACTATTCCGCGGTTTGTGGACCGATATTCAAAATTCTATTTTTGTTTGAAAGTTTACACTTCTGAGGTGGTCCTATTGTCACCAGGTCAGGATGTGATTATGGGAACCCAGGGAAACCGAGGGGGCCTTTTGTATTAATGGTCACAAAATACACAGCAACCTATTGTTCTATAATTGTGTCTACAAAACCGGTACTCGACGAGTTAATATCTATAATAGGTATCTATTACAAACA